TAACACTTGGTTGTATTTCACATCATTCATCCACATCTGTAAAGTAGCTAAAGGGAAATACATGTAGTGGAGTCAAAGTACACCTTTACCTCTGAATTGTAGTGGAGTAGAAGTAGTACACAGTTGCATAAAAAGAAAACTAAGCTTCATCTCCAAGCCCAATGGCCTTGGAAGAGCTGCTAAGGAAAAGGAAAGACATCCGGAGACTTTGGAGAGACAGCTAACGGACAAACTCAAGGAACTGAAAGACACTCCCTAACAGGCCGTATGCTGTTTAGCCTTACCTTGAATGATTCAGTGCAGTGTTCTGTGCAGGTTTTCTGTTTGCTTTTTCAACTCAAGGAGCTCAAAGACTGATTGAAAGTTGATTTGATTTGCATCATTTCTGATTGCTGATTCAATGTGAAGGAAAATTCACATTTTAGTTTATACAGTATATGTGTGCATATAATGCCCCCTTTGGCCTAACCTGGGAGAGCCTTATGTTCACTGCCAACCTAAGGACCTCCAACATGTTAATAAAGAATGTATTGAAAAGTTATATGGCGGATTGTTGTATATTGGCTCAGCCAGGTTATAGAGAACCACAGTGACGCGTCCTAAAACCCGGAGGTAAACTTCTTCCGGTTCCTTCGACAAAAACGCAATGCAATCTCTCCATAGGATTTAGGAAAATAGCTGGAAATAAGGTCTGTGGTTGAGACACATTTAAGAGACGGATCACGTTTTGTTCAGCCGGATAATCTCCACATGTCTACCCTACTTTTCATAAATCTAATCGATAGATTTATGATCGATAGATTTATGATTCAAAAATTATAAGAGATGTGGATATTATCCGGCTGAACAAAACGTGATCCGTCTCTTAAATGTGTCTCAACCACAGACCTTATTTCCAGCTATTTTCCAAAATCCTATGGAGAAATTGCATTGCGTTTTGTCGAAGGAACCGGAAGAAGTTTACTTCCGGGTTTTAGGACGCGTCACTGCGGTTCTCTATATGGGATGCCCAGTCTACTTACAGATGGGTCACTCATTTTGAAATATTACACTTTGTTTTCTTTTTCTTTAATTTATCATCCTCATGTAGAATGCTATCACGAAACACACATTTGGTTGTTTATAGCATAAAGAACATCTGATTTAATGTGAGGTAGGGAAATAATCGTTTGAGGATAAGTATGTGTGTGGCGGCTCAATCCCCAGTTGCGTTTGAGTCGCCGAGAGGCTAAACTTGGCTATAAACTGTGACGCGTTTTCAAAGAGAAAGTCCATAGTGAAGCAAGATAGTTTTTGGGATATTTAATAAACAAAATCATAACATGGACAAAACGGTCAACAGAAAAAATGACAGCACAAGCTCACCCTCTGCCATCCCCACTCGACATGAAACAGGTGACTTAAATAGACAAACCACACCCATGTGACAATTACCGGAAGTGCTCAACAAACAAATAAAAGTGACGTAAACAAATAATAATACAAATAATGAACTTGGGCTAAGTAGCATTATGGCACCTACAATGTGTATATAAATATGTAATTTACAACAGCTGTAAGATGCTTGATAAGCTTGAAATGCACCTTGAAAATGCTTGAAAAGTGCTTGAATTTGACTTGTAAGAACCCTGAATTATTCCATCGTCAGAAAATAAATCTAAGTATTTTTGATAATTACAATAACAATTGGGTTAAAAAAAACAACTCATAAAACACAAAAGCTAGGTCTTTAAAGGTCCCATGTCATGGCCAGTTATACTGATCATAATTCCATTGTTGAGGTCTACTAGAATAGATTTACATCGTTGGAGTGGAGCCTCGCAGCGGCGAAACCGTGCCGCGCCACACTAATTGCGCCACATTTTCGGCTCAGTTGAGGCCCCCTCCGCAAGGTGAGGCCCCCTCCGCAAGGTGAGGCCCCGCGCAGTCTGCATGATCGGCCTGTAGGGAGGGACGGCCCTGATTCCCGGGGGCGTTTCCTGGTTGCTGAGTGGGGTCTGCGAGACAGCGAGACACAGCAAAACTCAGCCTGAACTCAGCCTGAGCACACACATACACTCGGAGCCTGGCTGTGAGTGTATCAGTGACGTGCGGTGAGGTTCATGGCTGGTGAGGCACCGAGTCAGATTTACAAATATTATATTTTGACCTTAATCGAAATATTCGGTTATTTTCAAAAGCTTTTTTAGTCTGATGCTTCGATTCATTTTAAACAGACCGTTCAACAAAAGGATACCCAAAATCTAAATATTGGATTGTTCTTTCTTAGTAAGATCCCATTTTCATTACAAATGTGGTCTTACCTTGACTTGAAGATGAAGTCCATGCTATCCTTCTGGACAACAATCTCTATTACTTTTTTGTAAAAGTCCTCCTTATCTTCCTGTAGTTTCAAAAGTCTAGTTTGTTGTTACGTCTACCGTCTCTGCGTAGAATTACAGTAGCAACAAGAACCTGTGGGCTCACGTGCGCCCCCTTCAGTGCGGCAGAGGTTATGGCTGCCTCCCCTGGTGCATTTTCATTGCCGTTGAGACCAGCGAGCCTAAATATCATATATACGTGAAATAAGTTATTTAGAGACTATGGATGGCGAGGATAAATGTAATAAAGGGATCTACATACATTACATTGGTGACCTACAGTGAGATGGTAACAGGCATGCGCTTAGGGCCCGCTTTCCAGCCAGTTTCTGTGGGGTGACGCATTCTGAGGTGAGGCAGATCTCATCTGTGCCTCACCTCAGCCCACAGTAAATGGCTTGAGCGCGCTCACAAAATAAGTGCCCGCGCTAAATTAGTGCCCGCGCTCCAGCAAGTTACTGTGGGCTTACGAGAGGCAAAGCACGCCCCTGCCTCACTTGTCATCGCTCCCGTAGCGGAGTTCGGCAAATTTGCTGATTTTGACTATAAAAAGCGATTAGAATCATACATAAATCACATTTACACAAGATCAGTGGAGACATTTTATTATTATTACTATTTCGTTTTTCTTTAGTTGTTTTTCCGTTACATTGGAGTATGACAGGTGAGGCTCTGCCTCCCCTGCCTCCACTGACTGCACGTCGCTGGAGTGTATGTGTGTGCTCAGGCTGAGTTCAGGCTGAGTTTCGCGGTGTCTCACTTTCTCAGGCTGAGTTCAGGCTGAGAAAAGATAAGGCTGAGTGAGTGTGTGTGTGTGTGTGTGAGGAAGTCCGCGGATTGGTCCATTACGTCACAGTGACCCTTACGTCACTACGACCAGGCAGAAAAAAATGGAAAAAGAAAAATCTCCAACGAGGCGTTCTGGGGCAGCACAGACAGGTCTTTTCTGTGTTAGAGTTTTACTCGCTACAGGGTGTACTTTGAGGGTTTGTGACTCTGCAGACCGTTTACATGCAGAAAAACCTTCATAACACACAAGGGGACGGGTAATAACCGGAAAAGCATGACATGGGACCTTTAAAGTATGGAAAATACTTAATTTTCAAGGTGCAGAATATACTTGATATACTTTTTGAAATGTATTGATATTAATGACATGGCTTAGTTGAATACTCGATTCTGATTGGTCAATTAGGACATATATATATATATCCAGTCTCTGATAGTGTTACGTTATTATGAGAGTGCTCTCATACTTGTTTGATTCTGAAATTGTATATATTTATATAAATATATATAAATGTGTGTGTGTCCGCATCTGTAGCCTGTTATTGTCTCATTATACTGCACTGTGAATGAATTAAAAGTAAATGTATAAGTCGTCATGAACACATCTGTCCATCAGACAGAGGGCTGTGCCTCCTGTCATCATTAATGGACGTCTCTTTAAAATGACCGCTCAGAGGAGAGGAGTTCTCATTTCTCTAACCGCCTGCTGCTTCCCCTCCTCTCTCCTCGGCTCCTCCACTCGCATCTCCTGTGGGCGGGACTAAGTCTCGAGGATAGGAGTCGAGGAGGGGAGTCGAGGAGGGGAATTAGTGAAATGAGAAAGGGCCATGCTCTCCAGTACAGGTTAGCTCTGAGTGTTAGCGATGCTAATGTAAACACCGACCATATTACGTCCAAAACAGTCGGGCATTGTTTCTGATAGCAACTTTCTGATAGGGCCGTGGGTCCACATTTCAGATATTACGTCATATATAATGCTAACAGATATTAAGAAATAAGTCAACATTTAGACATTTTAAATCCTTAGTTTAGACCCTAATAATCTAAATGCAGTATTTTCCCACATTTTTTATTTTATTTTTTATTTAACCTTTATTTAACCAGATAAAAACATTGAGATAAAATCTAATTTACAATGCTGACCTGGCCAAGAAGGCAGCAACGTTACACATAACACATACATATAAAATACAGAGAACATATCTAAGAAAACAAAAGAGGAAAAGCAGTCACTACATTGTGCACATTAGGACAGTAAGAAAAGTACACTACTTATTACTGCAAGAGCAGCTGGTGGTGAGGATCTCAGACAACTTCAATTTAAAACATGCTATTGAGACAAGTGCCCTTAGTTTTAGGCTTGATTGAAGGTCATTCCGAGACCAAGGACCATAATAAAAAAGACTCCCTTTTCCAGCCTCAGTCCGCACAGCAGGAACCTGGACCCGTATCCAGGCACTGGTTCTGAGGTTGTAAGAGTCACAAACTGGGGCAAATCTGGCACATATGTACAGTGGAAGCTTACCTAAAATGGCTTTATACATTAATAACAACCAATGCTGCATCCTACGCATAGTAAGTGAGGACCATCCAGTTAGGCTATACAGTGTGTAATGATGAGTCCTATAGGGTGCATTTGATATATATCGCAGTGCAGCATGGTAGAGTGGGTCAAGTTTGGCCAAAACAGTGGGACAGGCAAATCTATAGATGGTATCACCATAGTCCAGCGGGGACAGGAATAAGCCAGAGATCAACCTTTTACGGGATGAAATTGAAAAACAACATCAGTGTCACTAACCTTTGAAACCACAAAAAGGAATATTTACAAGTTGAAATAAATTGACAAGATGGAGTTTCAACATGCGATACAGCAAGTATGGATATTTATTTCAGATTTATATCAAAATACCCGTGGTATATTGCATCATATTTACAAAACATTGTACAAAAACATGAAAAAAACGCTCTGCTTTTTCTAATAATGCTGGCTACTGAGACAAAGGGCTGGTGACGGAGAATCAATACAAACTTTGTTCTTACTGAGTTATATTCACATCATTATGCTTGATTACTTTTTTTAATAAGGGAGACTTTATATAAAAAAAAAAGGAACTATACAAATATATATACATCTATCAGGTTTTGGCCAGTTATCAAATGAAATAAACCCCAAAAAATGGTTCATACGTAGAAAAATAACTCTGATTTAATCCACTTGTGCATTAAATCAGGCGGAAACACAGCAGGACATCAGTCATAGTAAAAACACTGGGTCAAGAGCATAAACGCCTATAAGTGGCTACATCTGTCTCTTTAACACATACTTCACAAACAGCTGATCTCACAATAGACGTAAAAAAAAGAGCAAATTATAGAAGCAGAAACACGAAATCGCCCATCAATTGACATAATACTTCTGACAGGAAACGTTTGAAATGTTTACAATCAATGCTGACTTAAAATGAAAACCAGTGTCTAACCTGCATAACCAGAAACAATACAAATACACGTAGTCGCTGCAGAAAGAAAGCCCTTATAAATCCCCTCTAATGCCAGTTTGGTTTCCAGTCAAGCTCTTAAATGGGAATGAATCATACAAAGAAAATGAAGCTTGAAAATCCTCAGCATTTCTTAAGTGCTCTCAAGAAATTAGAACATAATAAAATGCACCTCTCGCTCAACGCCGCGTGTTGCTTTCCTCGGAGATTTAACGAGAACAAAAATGCAAAGTAAGTGCACTTTTATGTGAATGTGATTTTTGTTCCTTTGCAGGTTTTTTGTTTGCACTAAGAGTGGTGCAGGAATGAGTCCTAAAACACAGAAATGAGTCAGCATTTGTGGGTTCCCTCGTCTTGAAGTTTTTTTGATTTTACATGCCTGAAATAAAATCTGTGGTAAACACAAGCTGTAGATATTTGTAGGTTTTGTTCTACGCCTTAACATTTATCAGTTGATATCCCTCTGGTGAATGTATGAAGCTTTTTGTGTGTCTTAAAAATGGCCGTGCTAACAAGTGGCTAACGAGACTGCTTGATGTCATTATGCCAAACATTTTAACAAATAAACATTGTGTTTATGTGTGCAGCAAATTCCTTTTATTTGTAAACGTACCTGGCAATAAACTTGTTTCTGATTAGCCGCCGTTAGCTTAGCTGCCAAGTCATGCTACCGCGCTGTAGCTACTTGATAGCCTAACGTTAGCTTTTTACCTTTGCATTTATGCTTCAAAAATCATTAAAGTGGTGTTAATAAATGTGGATTATCCAGTTGAACAAAGCGTATAAGTATTATAGCCGTGTGTTTGCCACAGAGATTATTCTTTTGGGGATAATCCAATTGGCGAGGGAACCAGTTTAGAGCCTAGAGAATCACGTCATCCCTGCACCACTCTGACCCAGAGAAATGTTCGTACAGCAGGCGTGAAATGACAGACGTGGGGTTGGTGAGATTGGGGGTGAGATTTGGGGGTGAGATTTGAACGCCTCACTCCCCCTCCTCCTTGATTCGCTGCTGTTTGTTGCGGCGGGAGTCCAGGTCGAAGGAGAAGTCGGACCACTCGTCACGCGGCGGGAAGCTGATGGTCTGCCGGAGGGTGAAGCGCACGGCGTCGATCACACGCTCGCCTCGGGCCTCGGAGGAGCCCATGCTGACGGTGGACGCCCCGCTGGTGGTGCGCACTATGTGGGGGGGGGGGGGAGAAGTCCATGGCCTGCCGGTGCTCCATGATGCCCTTCCAGATGGAGTGCTGGTACTCGGCGGGAATCTTCATCCGGGACAGGTCCTATTGGTCGACACACAGGGGAGATTTAGTATGCGTAGTGGGTGGGTGGGATTCTATCTTCTGTATCTTCTGCTTTTAACCCATCAAATGACTGCTGTTGGATAGGCAAGGGCTCACCTCCATGTTATAGTTCTCAATCTGGTAGATGTTGCTTAAGCCTTGTGCTGTGAAGTAGTCCAGGCAGCCTGCGCAGCCCAGCCGAATAAGGAAGCTGCGGGGGGGAAGAGAGAGAGAGAGGGGGGGAGAGGACGGGGTTAAAATGTGATCTGTGATTTAATGATCAGAAAATAACCTGACACTGCACCCTTCAACTTGTTATACTTAATGCTTTATCTTAAACAAGTTATTCTATGTTGTATTTGTTCCCTGTACAGCACTTTGGTCAACTGAGGGTGTTTTAAATGACAAATCTTATAGGATAGTATGTCATGAAAAAGTTGAATGAAATATATAAAAATGTAAAAAATGAACAGTATGTCTTAAAACAAAAAGTCTAAATATAGCAGACATAAAAAAAGTTATAAAAACAACTAAAAACATACATTACAAGTTGTCATAGTGATAAAAATGTCATTAAATGTCAAAAATATTATATTCATAGTTCAGTTTGCTATGGAAATGGAAAAGTAGAGTATCTCATTTCAAAATCATTAAATAAAGCGTCATTTTATTTAAAAGTGGTATACAATATCACAGTGGTTATGTTATAAAAAAGTAATACAAAAAATGTGAAATTCAATTTGTATAGAAATGGTGAAGAAATGTCATAGTACAGTGTGCCATAAAAGTTTGATACAGATTTTCTAAAACAGTTTTGCATGTCATAAAAAGTCAAGAAAATATATCTGTAATGCCTGATGAAGATCTGACTGATTGAAACACTGCAAGAGGATAACACTGCGCTAAATATACCAAATATTTGAGCCAGTAGACACTTATACAAGTTTATTCCAACAGACAACTAGTCGCTGAAAATATACTTTGGAGGTGCGTACTTTTCCACTTCAACATATTAAAAGGTAAATACACATTTGAGACAAAAGCAGACGGGGCTTTCTCTCCATGCTTTTACTATTAATCTTACACTTTGCTATTTTGTGCGTCTTAGTACGTGAGTTATGAATGCAATGTGTCCGCTGTGGTTTGCTGAGGTACCTGGCGATGCTGCTGTCCATGGGGTAGGGAGGAGGGGGGGTGCAGTGGGAGGAGGGCACCAGGGGCATCTGAGCCTGCAGGGCGTGGGTGGGGCTCAGTGAACTCAAGTCATTCATGGGGAGGTGAGAGCCCATCATGGGAGTCACTGCAGAGACAAAAGGAGCCGCTTTACTCTGACTGCTCAGAGGCTTTCCTCCCCCTCTCTCCCCCCTCTCTCTCCACCCCCCTCTCTGTTTGTGTGGAGGGGTTTCTCAAATAGAGCGGTGCAGGGATGACGTGTTTGTAGTCCGAACCTAAAGATAGCATCTCTGTGTGTTTCCCTCGACAAAAAGTCAATGGGATTTTTTTGGAATATTGCAGAAAATAAGATCTGTGGCTCACACATGTTTATAATGTGTTCTCCTACACATGATATCCCCCACATATTAACACTACTTTTTTAAGTGTAAATGTAATTGCTAAGAGTAAAAAGCTAATGCTAGGCTATCCCATATATATATATTTTTTTGTACTTTTTCATGCTATTTTATTTCTATTTCAGAAATATTTTGGACTGTTTATTTCTTGTGTCTTAATTTCTCTTATGTACATTGCCTTGCTTTTTATGCTGGGATCAATAAAGTACTTGTCTCTCTATCCATCAATCTCTCTCTCTCTCTCCATCCATCCATCCATCCCCCCTCTCTCTTTCTCTCCCTCTCTCTCTCTATCCATCCATCCCTCTCTCTATCTATCCCTCTCTCTATCTATCCATCCATCCATCCATCCATCTATCTATCTATCTATCTATCTATCTCTCTATCCATCCATCCATCCATCCATCCATCCATCCATCCATCTATCTATCTATCTATCTATCTATCTATCTATCTATCCATCCATCCATCTATCCATCTATCCATCTATCTATCTATCTATCTATCTATCTATCTATCTATCTATCTATCTATCTATCCATCTATCTATCTATCTATCCATCTATCTATCTATCTATCTATCTATCTATAAAATAACTACATCACAGTCTCGTGACTTCATCGCTAAGCTCAAGGCGGCTAATGTTCAGTTTAGTTCAAGTCTCATTAAGACACATAGCAGCTTTGGGAAATTAGTGAGGTATTTAACTGTCATATTTTATGTCGTACAACAAAACGTTAAAATCTCTTCAGCTTGTGTTAACCACAGATCTTATTTCAGACTTCTAACCAAAAACACATTCAGAAAACCATTGACTTCAACACGAGGGAACAGGAAGTGCTAAAGACTCATTTCCAGGTTTTAGGACTCATTCCTGCACCACTCTATTCACTTTTGTTCTAAACAATTGAGTAAGGAGCAGTTTGGAACTGTTCCACATGGAGAAGTTACTCTCCACATTACCCATAATGCATCACAACAGGTCCTGCAGTCTCACAGGGATCACATTCATTTTAGAGGGAGGGGGTCAAGAGGCGTTCAGGTGCTTTATAACAATAATAGGGGGAGACCAGAGGTGGAGGAAGTATTCAGAGCCTTTACTAAATAAATAGTTTTAATCCCACACTGAAAAAATACTCAGTTACAAGTAAAAATCAACACTTAAGTAAATATAGTCAGCAACATGTGTGTAGCCAAAGAAAAATGACTCCAATGTCTAAAGAAGCTAATTCATGTTCTCTCACTCTCTCAAAAAGCTGTTCTTGTATTCACTTGTGCCTACTTTAATACATATAGATAACAAAGCATCATGCAAACATCCTTATTTGTAAAGTAAAAATAATAACAATATTGTGCTTTGAATTTGAGTGGAGTAAAAGAAGACATTTACAGATCCATTACTCGAGTAAAAGTACGATCAAAAGCCCTACATTTAAACCCTCACTGCAGTAGGAGTACTATAAATTGGCTTGACATTAACTACAATAATAAAAAGACTTGCATGTATTTGTTCGTGATAATACTCCGAAATTCTGTGAAGAGTGGATTTCTACATATTGATTACGACTTTTTGAGTTCCCACTGACTGTCTGTGAGGCCCCCCCCCCCCCCCCCCCAAGCTGTTAGCTGCCTACTTAAATACATATCAATAACAAAGCATCCCTTATTTGTAAAGAAAAAATACGAATTTTAGTGGAGTATTATATAAGAATATAAGTACGATCAAAAGCCCTACATTTAAACCCTCACTGCAGTTAAAGTACAATAAATTGGCTTGAAATGAACTACAATATTAAAAAGACTTGCTTGTATTTGTTCGTGATAATAGATTCAAGATGCAAGGCTTTTATTTGTACATTGCTACACTTTAGATATATCAATGAAAATCTTAGGCTCCTCCAACAGTGCAACATAATACAACAGGTAAAATAGAATATAGTAGAAATAGTGCAGAATAGTCTGTATACAAGTAATTGGAATATTGATATATGTGAGTTGCAAACAGATGAATGTCTTTCAGAAGTTCAGGTGTTTATCAGTCTGATGGCCTGTGGGATGAAACTGTTCCTCTATAATAATGTATTAAAAGTAGTTATTGCGTTGAACTTACTGTCGGTGAGACCCCCGCCCATGCCAGAGGGGGTGAGGGTGTTCCTCTGCTGCGGGTTGATCAGCTGACTGACGGACGGCAGCTTGTTCATTTTCCCGTGGGGGGGGGAGCAGGAGCCGTACGACTGCTGCGAGGGCATGGAGGTCCTGGAAGGGAAAAATAAATAAATCACATTTATCAACATTATTAATAATTATTATTCTTTTTTAAATTTATTAATGAGTGCAGATTTAACAATGAAAATATTTCTGAACAAATACCGTGATATTATAGTCTGGTCTTTAAATCACTTTTAAAAAACGACTTTTATAGAATTGCTTTCTCGTGATTTTATTAAAGGTCACCTATCATGCTATTTTCAGGCAATAGCATAGGTCTCAGATATATACAAATATATAAAAAACATGTCTATGAAGTGTTTTGCTCAAAATACCAAACAGATCACCCATTCCAGCCATGCCTCATATCCCTCTATTTCACTTCCTGTTTCAAAAGTGCTGATTTGGGGTATAAAGCTTTACAAAAAATAAAAAAGGAGGGGTCTGAGCTCATGCAGGACCCGGCAGCTACCGTCTAAACTAAATACTGCCGTGATGAAACGCCATATCATGGATTATCAAGGATTCTTTCTGAAACAGTATGGAGCTCAAAGGCTTTCTCTCTTGCCGGTTATACCACAAGGTGAGTTCCTTTTTATTTCCTGCTTCTTCACACACATGCTCTCCAGTACAGGCTAGCTCTGAGTGTTAGCGATGCTAATGTAAACACCGACCATATTACGTCCAAAACAGTCGGGCATTGTTTCTGATAGCAACGTTTCTGATAGGCCCGTGGGTCCACATTTCAGATATTACATCATATCGGACGCAAATCTGGATCAGCTCCGTTATTCCCCCGTTTTTAGAGATTTGCGTACGGAGGAAAAGAGAGAGGGTTTTATTTTCTGACACTGCGTGAGTTCCCCGACACACCGGGGACACACATTTATGTATAAAAGACATCACAAAGTGCATTTTGCATGATAGGTCCCCTTTAAGTATATAACTGTGACTAAATACAGATGTTCCTCCTCATACTGCCCACACATCTCAGTAATGAAACAGCAGAGCCGTAAAAGAACAGGACAGAGTTCAAGCACCAAAAAAGCTATTTATTATAATCTGACAGACAAAAGTGCAGCAGCCAAAACAATAACAACACATCTGTTTCAAACAGAATCACATCCGCTGTTTCATCCATTAAATCACATCTTAAAGAGGAAAAAAACAAAATAAACTGACCTGCAGTGACTTTATAAAACATGACCAGCATTAGCAAAAATAATAAAGTCTTTCCCCCCCCCTCAAGAAAAAGATTTTGAGTCCAGCTCTCAGAAAGAAAGCACCGTAAGTCAAGTGAGATAAAAACAGAGCTTGGTTCCTGTCAGCTTCATGACTAAACTCTACGCTACATATCATCATTTCAAACCGGGAAGAAGGTGTAACAACTTTAAAATATACTTAAAAGGACGCATGCAAATAAGATTCAATTATTATAATCTATGAACGATGAAAAGGCTTTGAGCTGGGATATTCCAGATGTTACAAAACAGAAAGTCCTCAGTGCAGAAAAAGGAGCAGATGAGAAACAAAAGGAGACAGAAAGGAGGTCCATGGAGGAGGAAGATGAGGAAGAGGAATGTGGGTTTCAGGAGGAGCTGCAGCGCCGCCTCTGCTCTCCTGAAGGATCCATGAGTCGGCTACCAAGACGAGCTTGAATCAAACTGCAGGGAGGAAGCGGAAGAGGAGAGAGGAGTGAGTGCTCACTGAAGGAGGAAGAGGAGGAGGAGGAGGAGCTGATGAATGTTAGTGGAGGAGAAGGGACAGAAGTGACCAGCAGAGGGCGCTCTGTAGACACACATCAGTGCAGACCGGGGTTACTCAGACACACAACGTGCACTATATGTAGCTAGTTTGGACTTTTCCTAATCCTGTTGTTATTTTTAATGATGTATACTGATACTGTCTTACATTTGGTTTTCATTGTTATTCCTATTAGCTTTTTGAGAACTCGTACCTGTCCTACCATTGGAGAATTATTTTAGGAGTTCACTTAATACATTTTTTCCCTTATTTTGTAATCACTCTTATTGCCCTCGATGCTCTGATAGCTGAATGTTCCTAGAGTTGTTTTATCTGATCTTGTAGTGGAGGGTTACAAATATACTAAATGCTAGGGATGCCAAGGACAGCCAATACTTTAATATCATGTTGAGTCAAAGGTTCAAACAAATCGCCTACAGTACCGCATCAAATCTATGTTGAAATAGTTAATGTTAGCAGTTAGCAGCAGGTGAAAGGTTGCATTCATGCTCTATTTAGTCACAAAGTTTACCTTGGACGAAGTTAAATGACAAAGCTATCATGATGTGTTCAAATCCAATCATGTAAATCATAGTTTTGGCGGCGAGTAACTTGAATAAATAGAGTTTTCACAGCAATTAAAATAGATATAAGAGAGGGAATTATGACCTGATTCTAACAAAAAATGACTATGCAAACAGTTATGAGGGAACGTGTTTTTAAGTACATGGGATTCATGGTTTAGTTTTGACGAATTGGTATCAAGAATCTTGGGATTTCACTTGCATTGGTTTTGAATACTTCATTTCTGTTAACGTTAAATCCCTCCAACGCTGAGACTTAAAAGAATCTGAAATCAATACTAAAACTTGAAATGCATGAAAGCAGTGAATGCAGGGCAAACATGATCTCACCGTCTGCCAGTCTCTTAATGGGAAACTAAAACATAAGCAGTAATTATCACCATGGTGCTGTCAAACTATCATTAACAGCAGCTCCTCTGCAGCTCTCAGTGAAAACAGGGTGCGGGCGGGGCGGGGGGGGGGGGGAAAGTGTGTGTGTGAACACGAGACAGTTTTAATTAATGCTCCAGTGAATGGAGGAGGCTGAGCACAGATTTTGTTGTGCAAAGAGTCCTGGCAGAACACCCAAAGGCGTTACCGCGCTCTTTGGGAAGCTTCTCGTTAACAAAGCACAGCTCGGCACATTCGTCACGACTCAGAACATTTGGCTCGCATCCCATGAGAGAGGGAGGAAAGAAAAACAGATCTAATGGAGGAAAACTGCAGCCATTGTGTCGAATAAATACTGTTCTTAAGTACACATTTGAAGGACTTGTACTATGCAAAATGCACTTAAAGTATCAGAAGTTAAACGTTTTTTTAAGTGAGTTTTGGCCAAGTTTACAATGTGGGACCAAGTTTTTGTCACCTTTACTTGTTTGATTAATCTGAGTACTTTGTCAACCTGATTATGATAGATAGATAGGTAGGTAGGTAGGTGCTTGGTACAACTATACATTTGTACTTTAATTAAAATTATCTTTATTGTACTTTATTGAAGAATCTGAATGCAGTACTTTTACTTGTAACCGAGTACTTTTTCCTTAGTTTTTGTCACCTTTACTTGTTTGAATAATCTGAGTACTTTGTCAACCTGATTATGATAGATAGATAGATAGATAGATAGATAGATAGATAGATAGATAGATAGATAGATAGATAGATAGATAGATAGATAGATAGATAGATAGGTAGATAGGTAGGTAGGTAGGTAGGTAGGTAGTTAGATAGTCAGTCATGTTAAGTCAGTAAAAATCACTGCAGGCCGTTCTGTGCAAACAAACGTGCACTTCAGTAAGAACCCCAGCACATGTTTCATGATGACACAATAATAGTGTCCTTCCTGCTGAATAAGAGCGAGTACTCACTGTTTCTGGAGGAGGTTCTGCTGCTGCTGCCGGTACGACTCGATGGTGTGTTGAGGCAGATACTGCATCAGCTCCAGAGACTCCTTGATTTTTACCAAAATCTCATAAATTTCACGGCCTTTGATCTGGAAGAAGTCAAAATAAGGGATCACGGTCAGTTTGAAGGAATAGCTCAATGTGTGGTATGAGTACAGAAACCTTTATTAAATGGTTATGGAAATCGAATAGGCCTGCACTTCTATTAGCCAATGATAAACCTGTATTTTCTTTATTACATTTTCTTTATCACACCTTTTTATAAACAGTTTTACATTTAAATAAACGGAGCACTGCTTCCACTTTTATGCTGTGCTTGAGTTCTGCTTGTGTACAAATAAGAGGTGCATGATATTGGGATAAATGGACATATGTATGTACCCTAAATATGTCTTTAAATACAGTACAGCTTGTTTTAAAGTAACACTCACAGGCAAACAGAACACCTCCTCGTCTGTGGATCTCCTCTTCTTGATGGTGGACATCTGGATGCCGTGGGAAACTTGGCGGTAAGCTGAGGAGAGGAGAGAAGAGTGTGTGAGCGCCGCCATCTTTACGCTAAACTTAGTCTGCTGGGAGAATACTGAATGTTCTCTTCCAATATGAGAGTACACATGATAACAAAGGTATCCCAACTGTAGCTGTGTGCATGACAGGATGTATGATTACCTAGAAGAGCACCAGGACTGTTTTAGGCATATGATAGCTATGTGATTAACATGATGATTCAGCCTCTATGGAGATAGACATATGACAAGCATGATCATTTCTGACGTGGAGCTAATCTGAAGTAAACATTGAATACTGCTTTCTATTCCTCCATCTTGTGACTGTGTAACTCCCTCTCTTGGATATCAGCATGTGAAGGACACTGTTCAGGAACTAGTTGATGCTCTGTATGTGATGACTACTTCCATTCTGGAGAGGATCACAAATACATGGATCCTGAGATTGAAGCTCATGCCGGTGCCGAGTGACATTTTTCTAACATGGTCCTAATATTCTAATATATCATAAAGCGTCGTACCGTCTCCGCTCTTGGAGCCGTCCGTCACGTGCTGCTTGCGGATGCTGTCCTCGTCCGCCTTCCTGTCTCGACCCGGGCAGGCGCAGATCCGGGCCTCGAAGCAGCGGCGGCCTAACACCTGACCACTGAGAGGGAAACACAGCAGGTGAGACACGGAGCAGAGGTTACCTGCAGGAACCTGAGGCTGGCTGTGAGCGTGTCTTACTCTCGGGTCTCCAGAGTCACGATGATGAGGATCGGGCGTCGGTTCATCCCCCCCACGCAGCTTGAGTTGCACATGAAGTTGTACAAAATTGTGGTGAATTCTGTGCCCACCTGAGAGAGGAGAACAACACGGATGGTGAGTTGTTAATTTTGAGTAGAATTTGAATGTAAACCTGCATTTAAAATCAGGCGGTCAATCATACTCGCCCCAACAACTTGAATATCTTTAAACAAGGCTGCTATATATTTGTTGATTTTTAAGTGAGGCTCTTTCTGCAGTATCTTTCCATGTATTTTACTATAAAAGCTGCGTTGAAAAGCTATTCACTAATGACAATATTCTCCTCATCTAAGTGTGTGTAAATGCAGTTCTAGTAGTGTTTGCCTTTTATTTCCAGCTCTAAAAATGCACAGCTCTGCATATTTAAATTCTTATATATTGTACATGTCTCTTCCCATCAATTCGTCACGTTTTAAATCGCATAATCATATATGTATTTACTTATAATAAGTGAAAGGATGTTTTTTCCCCATCACCTTGAACGACAAGAACCCAAATGAAGAAAAGAAAATGTCAAAAAATGTTTTCTCTTAGCAGCCTGCATTAAGATGAAGCATGCTCATATGGAGGGGCTTTAGGTCTCATGAAGTCTATTTCTATGCGAGGTGGTGAAGTGTGGCTGGCGGTGCGTTCAGGTGCCTGTCTGCAGAATGGGAGACGCTCACCTGTGGAGGTTCGTATGGGACAAACACGCTCTGCCTCCCGGTGATGGAGTCCTCCAGGTACTGAGCGTGGTTGTTCCCCTCCACCCGGATCAGGTGGCTGGGAGGAGCGATCTGACCTGGAGAAACATGGGGGAGTGTCATTAAAACAGAAAACACTGAGTATATAACTTTATATACCTTATAACAATTTGAGGTACTTGCATCAGAAGGAAAGTACTCATTACACGTCATGGTATGGTATAAGTATAAAAAAGCATAACATCTAAATTCTCACATAAAGTCAAACTACTTGAAAAAGTACATTTAAGTTAATTTTTCTGAAAACAGCATCAGGATTCAGGACTGTCACTTGTAATAGTAGTAGAGTATTTTAGACATTGTGCCCCTTACTTTCACTGAGGGTTCATTTGGATTTTCTTCCACTACAGATGATAACTGAAGTGACACATGAGGGATAACGTTTTCTTTAATAAATCAAAGTGTACTGACCGTCGTTGAACTCGCGGCTGAGCTCGTGGTTGGGGCAGCGCTTCACGACCTCCGTCACGTGCTCCGCCTTCTTGTAGACGGGCATGGCTCTGATGACGGCGCCCTGCGGGGGGTTGGTCAGCACTTTGATCTGGATCGGACACGTCTTGGCGATCTGACAGTACAACTTCTTCAGCTCTGTTGAGTACTGCGAACAGAGAAAACACAAGAGGATAAGACTGTGCTGAAACATTTATGATATCGTAGTTTATTTGTTGTTTTGTCTGTCTGACTTTCTGGGTTATATATAGTATATAGTCCACATATTTATATATTTTATCATTACCAAGAGAGAGTCTAATTTCCACTTGCATGTTTTACATTCTGTAATTTTTTTTATTTGGACACCCTGTAGACTTTTTTACACAAATGTTTTTTTTATAACACTTGGAGAGTTTTTTCCAATTGGCGTTAAAAAATGTAACTTCTTTTAGTTGAAATGCATTTTAATTGTATAGTTATACTAATAAGTGTGCTGGTATTTATATGCTGTTCCATGCGTTGATCTGTTTGTATAGTTGTTAGTGTAATCAAGTCCTCCTGATTACTCACAAAGCCCTCAACAATCAGCCCCCCCCCCCCCCCCTACCTCACAGACCTGCTGCACCACCACACCCCTTCCCCCTACCTCACAGACCTGCTGCACCACCACACCCCTTCCCGCTGCCTCCGCTCATCAGAAGCCAACCTCCTATCCATCCCCACCCGCATCAATCACCGGACCTGGGGGGACAGAGCCTTCTCCGTCGCTGCCCCCTCCCTCTGGACCTCACTCCCACTCCCCATCAGAGAGTGCACTGACCTCACCACTTTAAAAAACTCACCTCTTCAATCTGGCTTTTAATGTGTGATTGTTTTTGTATTATTTAACTTTAACTATATATATTTATTTGTTGTTCTTTTCTTTTCACTATATCTGTAAAGCGTCTTTGAGCACCTGTAAAAGCGCTAACAAAATAAATCTATTATTATTATAGTGTGATTATTGAGACTGTGCAATGTGTCCTCGTGCCAACGGACTGAAGATGGACAATCATATCTTCTCTTTTGATTTGTTCACTCATGTTTCTAGATTCATAAAGAAAATTAACAACAAAACAATGCAATTTAATCGATAAACTTGAAGCAATTTGAAAGCTTCCAAAAATACGTGAATTTTATCGACCACCTGTTGGCAGCACTGTGACTTCTGTTTTCCCCGAAGCATAAAAAGGGTTAAAGACAAGACTGTGATTATGAGTTAAATAAACACACACAGGTTCTGGAGCTGCGAGTGTGTGTGGGGAAACCTCAAAGATCTCACGAGAGCCTTTGGGACTTCCGTGGAGGAGCGCCATAAAAAACAGACCCCTCCAGGAGCAATTAAACTCCAAGCATGGCCTCTTTCATCTTCAGGGGTGAGGGGGGGGGGGGGCTAAAAGCATCTGATGGCCCCTCATCATCCAGAGCAGGGCTTCCTCCAGGACTGAAGAAGGTCTAGAAAGATCTGTCTGGGGCCAACTGCAGTGAATGCTCACACAAAATGACTTAAATGTAAAGTCTGTAAGCCAGGAGTTGTGAAGTATGTTGATCCCTGGTACCTATAGAAGTGATCAGCCATTTGAAAACAAGAATGTTCACATAAAAGCGGAACAGAGATTCACCCGAACAACGAACATGCTATGACGTGGTTACTGTAAAACCTGCATTTGAAAGCAAACGGTCACTAATAAGCAGAGGTAAGTCTTTCCACCAAAATATCTTAAAGTGTTAAGTTTGTAAAGTATAGTGATACCAGCGTGATTTAACCAAAGTCCTAGTAGATACTTTGAATATATCTTTTGAGGATGAAAAACATGAATAAGAGATAAAAAATATAGCAAATGAAATAAAAAACAAATCTGTGATGAATGAAGAAGTATTTTCCTTACTTGCACCCAATATTTATTGACACTATTCGAACAGAGCTACGTCATTGTATTGTACGTCACAAGCTAAGACTGAAAACCCTTTGAGTTAGAGTCCTAAAACACATCATAATGCACTCAATTCATAAAATGCCATTTCAAACCCCTGCTTAGTTTTTGAATGCAAACAAAATGATCTCCGTTTCATTTCTTCAACTTGTCAGTTCTTCGTGTTTCTCTCCTTCAAATTGATTGGATGTTTTCAATCTTTACAATCTCTGTCCTTGGGGGGGGAAAAAGGTTTTGAAATTCTTTCGAGTCAAAAGGCACACGTGATGTGACCTTATGCCACACCTCTGCCATTAAATCATGCAGGTGCAGTACGTAGCCTTTGCATGATTAAATAAAAAGTATATATCCGATAAGACACAGCGGATAAGTCATGTAAGTTAAATGTTTGTAAGACAGCAAAGATGTTTTTTCATAATGGCATCACCTGTCTTTCTTTAAAAGCAAAAACCAGCGTAGAAACTTTAACCAGAATTGAGAATGTTTGATCAAATCTGTCCGCTTTTCTAGTGCAATACATCGAATTGGGCGTTAGTATATGTGAAGGTAAACACAACTAATGACTTTGAGGACTGAAGGAGTTCTAGAGGGATCTGTTTTCTCACATTGAGGGTTAGTGCGCCCCTCCTGCGGGATAATGGCTGCGCGCTGATCCCTGGCACTGTTAGGATTGATAACCAGAAAGCCATCAGAAGGACTGAATTGTTACTAATGGGCAGAACCCAACTGTGTAAACAAACCATAGAAATCACTGCTGTGTGTGCAGAGCTTTAAATCCCCTGAGAGAGGAGGAGACTCTGGGTAAAGGTGGAGGTGGAGGGGGGACTTCCCCCCCCCCCCCCGTCAGCCTCATTTCTGAGCGAATAAAGGTGAACATTGTGAAAGCCGCTCGGGGCTGTTCCAGAAACAATGCAACATAAAAAAAAAAAAAATTCCACTATGATTAAAATTGCTTCCAAAGAAAAAGCAGCTCATCCCAGTTTGTGTCTTTAAACGTTGCACAAGCTTGGCACGGACCCTTTCTGCTCTTCTCTGCGGGCATGCAACACTTTTCCTTTCATCAGGACGAAACCAAAACAGCACATTATCGCCCAGTTACTAAACACAGGGTTCACTAATAAAGACAAGTTAATGAAACAATGCATTATGAACTGACTGGGCACTGCTCAAGGTTTTGATCATATTGAAAGTAAAAGCAGACCGTAGCTGCAGGTATTATCGGCTTTTAACTGCAAGGCAAGGCCATTTGATTTATATAGCACTTTTCAGCACGTGGCGATTCAAAGTGCTTTACAAAATAAAAACAAGAGACATTTAAGAACAAATACATAAATACATTAACTGTATAAACTGTATGCTTGTATTTTTTGTTTTGTTTTCAAGGTGTCTATGGAGAGCATTTTGTACCGTCAGCTTCAAAAGTGCAAAACAAATAAAAAAAAAAAAGGTTATTATCAGTCGATCAATAGACAAATAATTGCTAAATATTGTGAGAAATTGATACATTTTCTTACATGAATGTGTTAAAATGCTGTTTTCCACCTCGTAAATATGAAGTTTTGGTGCTTTTCTCTGTTTTAAATCGTATAAAAGTGAATGTTTTTTGGTTTCTGACTCACAAAGCATGACATTTAAAGGCATCGTCTTGTACTTTGAGAAGGACTTTGACTACTTTCTTACATTTCATGGACCAAGCGATTGATCACTAATGAAAAAAAAGATTTGATTGCAGCCGTAAAGCAGACGCTAAGATAATCAAAATACAATCAAAGTGTTCTTATTTTTTTTGTATGTACACCTTTGATTCCAGCTCTGGCACATGCATGTCAACACAATGGCCGAACTGATTCTTCCTGACAATCAAAGCAGCTTTTTCTACAAAAAAAAAAGAACAGATAAATGTTTGTCCTCTCGCTCCTAACCTGATACCCTCGTACGCCTCTGTCAGTCAGCTAAATGAGGTGGAGAGGAGAGGCGGGCGGAAATGAAGCAGAAAAAAAGAGAGACCTGTCGCTGTGTGAAGGGTCAAAGATAGAGCATTTAGAGCATTTCACACCGAATGAGAAGGTGAGAAATATGAAGACAAATACCTGGTTTTCCCTTCATTTTAAACAATGTGTTCTTTTACAAAAACTGTTTTTTAAAGACATAACACTTTCTAAAACGTTTTTTTTCCTGGATGTATTAAATCAAATGTGCGCTCTTTATTATTTGTATGACTTCTCGCTGCAACACACCCATTTGCACTATTGTATAATTCTATGTTTTAATGTTTTGTTTATTGAATGTACCGCTGCTATACTTGAATTGAAACTAATTCAAATAAGGAGGACATTAAAGCCAGGGTTATCTAAAGTTAATTTAAGGATTTGATGTAAGCTTGATGGTCCCATTTTCTGCTGCAGGTATCTATACACGGGATGTTTGGTTAAATAGAATGATGTCTAAACTGTAAAAGAATAAGCTTTTCCACAACCATTATGAAGATGTAACTGTGTAACGGGTCAGTGCGTATGTTTGCAATAATTACTGGGTGTTGGTTTTGTGTAGCTGAAGGCGAAAACAACACAACGCAGAGATTTAATCAGAGGCAGAGAGGTTTGTTTAGATCATATCTATCTACTGTCACACACACACACACACACACACACACACACACACACACACACACACACACACACACACACACACACACACACACACACACACACACACACACACACACACACACACACACACACACACACACACACACACACACACACACACACACACACACACACACACACACACACACACACACACACACAGCAGAGGACCATCCCAGCCCTGGAGGTACAAACTTTGCGCTCACACACACAAATATGTGCTGCTGCTGTTGCTGTGTTTGCTCAGCAGAGAGAGAGGAGCTGCCGCTGACTAAAGCTAACAGAGCGCAGGGTGGAGGACGAGGGTTGAATGATGGGATTCGGTGGCTCACACAGGGCGCGGTGCTCAGGTGTTAACATGTAATTATGAGCCTTTCATTGGTCACATTGTGAATTGCACACACGGCGCACTATACAGAGCTGCTTAATCACAACTGTTTGAAAGAAAATGTTTCTGTGTGTTTGCGAGGAGACGCACACGTGACGCATTGCTTTCAAACGGGCACGAGTGCAAGGAGGGATTAGTGGGTTAGAGATAGCGAGGG